TTCTCCACAGTTTGAAGCAAGCTTCATGGACTAATCCAGTGGGTGATTTGTTTGTTACCCATTTATTATGAAATGGAGAGGAAAATGTGTGCCAAATGTATGACTTGCTGCATAATTAATATTGGCAGCAATTTTTTTATTCCCAAAAGCTTTGTTTGTGACAGGTGCATTTGTATAGGATTCAGAGGAAATACAGCTCAGAAATGGGCCATTTGTTCCTGGTGGCACTGCTCTCAATCAGCCATTAATCTCAATCTGGGGGTGAATCTTTTTTGTGTGTCTGTTTGAAGTACCTGATCCATCGCGTATCTGAGCTGGCAGTGCTTGCTACAATTGCTCGATGTTGATGACAACATTAAGTTATTTAATTTCTTTTCATGTGGATTGCATCTAGGAGTACTGAAGTGTTAAAAGTGAAAGAGCTCCGTTACTAAACATTGATGTCCATCACACTGAGCACAAAATGTTCATCCAAGAAGTTGCAAATATTGAGCATGGCTTGTGAAATTAAATTCCTTCCTGCAAGAGCCATTTCGAGAGTGTGTCTGAAGTGCTGTTGAAGGGAATGTAAAATTGACCTGTCAATTGAGGATATATCAGACACAATTAGCAGTTATTACTGTACTGGGTATTTATTGCACATTGCAGGGATAGAGCCTTGCACTTGTTACTAGAACTCAAAGGCTGTCACTGAGTTATTGATGGAGTTTTTAATTTGTTGTCATTTATCATGGGATACTGTGGGGAATCCATTCACCCACAAAATACACAGTCAATTAACTTTCCAGTCTATTCTGTGAAACGCCTTGAGACATCTAGAAGACGTGATGAGGCACTATATCAAATGCAGGGATTATTATCAGCACTGAGCTTTTATGATTTCCTCGTACTCATTTTATCAGTGGGGTTGGTACTTGGATCACATCCTTTGTGGTGTGAGTAAATTGTGGGGTGTGAATGGTAGCAGATAGCAGAGGAGTTGTGGAACACTGAAGGACTTTGCAGTGGTTTGATACCATCAAAAACCCCCAAAATGTTAAGGTAACCCAATGGAACAAAATCCTGAAATTTGAAATGTGGAAAAACTGCACAGTTTTAAATATTTTAATTGGTTTTCTAAAGTTGTACTTGGAATTTTCTTTTGGTGTTCGGTGTTTTTTGTCACCTGTCTCGATGGTGATGATTCCTGCTGGCATGTGTTCTAAAAGTGTCAACAACCCTCAAAAATCTTGTCAAAGTAGCCATTCTTTTTATGGCTAAAAAGGCAAGCCTCAGTGGAATATTTGATCATTAAGAAATGATGTCCACTCAGCAGCACAATAAACTGGAGGTCATTAAAGAATGATTGGGAGAAGGGATTCTGGTTGATTCTCTTTCTTCCCTCACCCTGTTAGTGGGTTCGTTGGAATTATTGTTTCAAAATGTGAGGTTTCATGAATTCAATTATTGGTAAAAATTTGGGTTTAGGTCACGATTGAGAGTAATTGAGATGGCAACAAACATTCTTTTAATTCAATTATTATGAAAAAAAGACTGCTGTGCGTATTGAACATAAATTGCTTTCTTTTAAAATCGACTTAGTTAAAGTAAATTAATTTCATTGCTACTCTGGGCAGTGAAGAAACATCTAGCAATTAATTTTAATTAAATAATCTTCTTGGGATAAATGGGGACTCTGGAAAGTTAAATTGTTCATCTGTAAATTCATATACATGTCTGTCAACTGCTTTGAACTAATGTAACCTAAAAGTCAATTTCCTCTATAAAACGCCATTAAGTCTCTAGGAAAAAAACAATCACAATTTGCTTCCTTTTAGAACATATAAAGAAGCTGACATGAGTGAGTATTGGTAATATCCTGTTAAGAGTATTTGGAAATGCAGTTATTTAATCTTAAAAAGTTAACAATTGGAATAACTGTTGGCCATTTAACATCAGACTTGTCAATGTCTAAATTGAGATAAAGGAAGTGGAAAATATCGGAATTTCTTGTGAGTGTAGAGATTGACCTTAATTGTAGGTTTTATTCTGTTAATTTTTCGCATAAAGGGTTTAGAAATCCAGCAGACCGTCTTTGTTTAAAACATGACTACCTGTGAATGGAGCAGTTTCTCTGAACTCTCAGAGATTAACACAATAAACCTCAACTACCTTAAAATCAATATGGCTAAAGGAAGGGTGAACCAGACAATTCATTCTTGGAACTGTTGAAACTTTCATGAAGCAGGGCATGTACTTGCATGGAATGAACATTCTGAGGAGTTTCTGTGCAGTGTTAGATGAATCTTGTCAATGAAGAAAAGTTTACATATATATTCCCTTGTACTTATCCAGTTCTAGGTAATTGGAGTGAACTTTCACAGGAAGTATTAACTTGGAATTTCTACACGAATTCTTAGAAATGTAGAAATAGGAGTAGGCCATTCTGCACCTCGCGCTTGTTCCTCCATTCTATAAGATCATGGGGGATCTGTACCTCAAGTCCCGAATACGCTGACCTAACAAATATCTATCCAGCTCAGTCTTGAAAATGTGAATGGATCCACAGCCTTTTGGGCGAGAGAGTTCCAGATTTCCATTGCCCTTTGAGTGGAAAAACTGCCTCCTGATGTCACTCCTAAATGGCCCAACTCTATTTTTAAAACTATACTCCCTTGTTTTGGATTCCCCTACCATAAGAAATAGTTTTTTTGTGTTTACCCTATCAAATCCGTTGATGGGAGGGTATGAATTTCCACAATGACTACCTGGATCTTATGTTAGACTCCAGGAATTCCATCCATACTGGTATTGTTTCCCTACAAATACAGTCACTACACTTAAAATTCTGTGAAGTGCTTTGAGGCACTTGAGGCGTCCTCCTGACATGAAAGGCCCTATGCCAGAAACAAGGATGATGCCTCAGGTTACAAGTTCAATTGCTCTAACTATAATTACTTATACATACAAAAGGTTATCTCTTTATATTCAGGGTGTAATGGTAACAGTCTGGACCCTGTACAAAAGAAAGTTTCCTTGTTTTTTCCTTCTAGTGAACATGCATATTAAGATAGACTGATGGGATTTATAATCTCTGGGGTACATTAAAGTTAGTACATTTGAATCTAATGTACTACCTGCCCTTTTATCTATTGTAATAAAATAATATTATTATCTATTGTAGGTGTTTACTGGTGAGACTAGCAATGCAGAAAGTCTGAATCTGTTTTGGATGGTGTGTATTTATCTGCTTAATCCTTTAAATGCGGAGTGCCAATTAATATTTGTAACACCCAATTAAATGTGGTGCTCATGGACACTTAGATATACCGTATTTAATATTCATGGTACTTGCATAGGTTTTTGACTAATGTGCTTGTTTGTAGCTCTGATGTACTGATTCTTCAAACCTGGATAATTACTTTGATAATGGTTGAGTTTCCTCTATTGGAAAAATAAATTAAATCTAAAGTCAACACTTTCATTCTACTATTATTTTGGTTATTGCCACTGTGACACAAAGCAAAATAAATGTGTATTTAACTTTGGATTGAATTTATTTTTCCAATAGAGGAAACTCAACCATTATCAAAAGTAATCATCCAGGGTCTTGTATTTAAAAGAAGTTGACTACTACTCCAGCTTCTTTGTTTTGCAAATAAACTCTTCTATTGTTGATATTGCCATTTTTGTTTTTAAACTCATTTATTACAACTAACAATACATTTGGGATGATAACATCCAGTTTAACATCACTTTCAAAGGAAGGCACCTCTGATCAATACAGCTATCTCTCGGCACTGCACTGGAGTGTCAACTCGAGTATGAGCTCAAAGTGGCTCGGAGGCGAGAATGCTGTTGCAGGGTGCAGTTCGATTGCTCCAAACAATTCATTTGGGCATCTAAGTGTCCCATAGTGCAGTTAAGTTCCACAGGTGCCAATCATCTTCCAGCAACTTGCTCAAGTGTCTGTTCTTGGAATGTGGCAGTAAGTTTAGGCGCAGGTAGCTTCGCGAATGAGGCCCAATTGCTCATTTGTGAATGATGTATTTATATCTGTATATAGATATTGTGCTTAATTCTTCTTCCTTCCTCTTCATGGAGCAAACATCTCAATAATAATATAAAATCCAAATGATAGGAGCAGAGGAACAAGAGTAGGTTATTCAGCTATTGAGCCTGTTATGCCATATGATGGCAGATATTTTAATCAAAATTCCTCATTTTCTCCTATATTAGAATACATTAGAATATACAGGACAGAAACAGGCCATTCGGCCGAACTGGTCTATGCCGGTGTTAGTATTCTCCACATGAGCCTCCTCCTGCCCTTCCTCAACTAAACCTTCAAGCATAACCTTCTATTCCTTTCTCCCTCATGTACCTATCCAGCTTCCCCTTAAATACATCTATGCTATTTGCCTCAACAACTCCTTGTGGTAGCATGTTCCACATTCCCACTAGTCTCTGTGTGAATAAATTTCTTCTAACTTCCCTATTTGATCTATTTGTACATCTCTAGACATCAGTTTTATCTCAGTGTTCAGGTGATAATACTTCACGAGCAAAGGTCTGCTGATATCTGATGCTCTGTGACCTTTCATTGCTGTTTTTTCTGTTTACCTTGGTATCCATTAGACTCTATATCATACAATTAATTGTATCTATACAGAATAATTTTTCAAAAGTTGTTTTGCTGACCTCCAGCTGGGACTCTAGGTCCAGGGATGTTCTGTCAGCTTGTTTGTCAGACATCAAGGCTTGGATGAGCACAAATTTCCTGCAGCTGAGTGTTGGCAAGGCTGAAGCCATACTCCTTGGCTCTGGTCAACATCTCCTCTCCTGTAACTCTGACCACCTCAACCTCCCCAGCCTATCCTTAATACAGGTCCTTGCAGTTTCTTTCTCTAGCCGTTAGTTAATTTAGACACAATCGCGTCCTATGCGGTGTTTCACATTCAGAGTTATACATCTTTTTAATTTTAATTCTAATTCTCTTTTAAATGTTCTCTTTTGCACAGGTGCTTCCTTTAGAAAATAAGATGAAGCAACGGAAACAATTCCCACAAGCACTGAACATTGGCATGTTCATCGTCCTTACTTTGTATGTTTCTTTGGGAACCATTGGGTACATGCATTTTGGTGATGACGTTCAGGGCAGTATTACGTTAAATCTTCCACAGCACATATGGTAAGATAATTTTGTCACATTTTATTAGAAATGCACTCCTTAAAATCTGACATATTACTTGACTTTAGGAATGTTTTGTAATTACCATATGGTCACTTCTTTACTGTATATTAATGATTTTGATTTCATCATTTTTGATCAAAACCGTGCTCGATTTATTCACTGCAGACTACCGTTGAGCTTCTGTGTCTCTAAATTGCTTTGTTTATTTGTAATCAGGATGCCACTTGCCATCTTTTCGGTCAGCGATTGCAATGTTGTGAATAATAATAATCTTTGCATTTGATAAATCGCCTTATCACGTCTTCAAGACGTCTCAAACCGCTTCACAGAATATACTGTAAAGCGAATTGACTCTATTTTGTGGGCGAAACACAGCAGTCAATTGTACACAGCAGTGTCCCACAACCAGTCATGGATCGGAGTGACCAATTTATTATTGTTATTCTTTTGGAATTTTTTTTAAAATTATTATCCCCGGAAAAGCGATCCGCCAATCGAACTAACAACCGGGACCTGTAGGAGGATGGCCGAGGGCGCGGACGATATGGAGCGTTTTGAGGTGTGCCTTTAAGGAGGCGAGGGAGGGAGCAAGGCGAATGGAATGTGGGATGGAGTTCCAAAGGGTGGGGGACAGAAAAGCTGAAGGCCCAACCGGCAATGGTGTGGCCGGCCCGGCGGTGGATGTGGAGCAGGCCACAGCCTGCTGAGTGGAGGGAGCGGACACATTGATATGGGGGTCAGCATGAACGTGATGAAAGCATGGATAAGGTCTTGGTGGCCTAGTGGAGAAGTGTTGCAGAGGCAGGCAATGTGTGTAGGCATGGGAAAAGCAAAATGGGTCGGAACACAAATGTGTGGTCTGAAGGACAGTTGAGATTTGGACAGGATATTGAGGTTCCATATGGGCTGTGTAGATTGATGCTATGAGCGCTTGAAGTGAGAAGGTGTTGATGGGAGCCAAGCAGGAGAGCCTCTGTCTTGTCGACATTCAACTGGAGAAAGTTAGTTTTCATCCAGGACTTTCATCCAGGACTCTGACAGGCAATTGGTCAGATCAGCAGTGATCCTGGATCCCGGAATTGAGGGTGGAATATCTTTATCTCATTTCTCAGTCTTCTCTATATCCTGATTTCCCCAATATCTGTCCAACTGCCTTTTATTCATCCCAATTGATTCTGTATCTACCGCTTTCTAGGGTTGTGCATTCTGCAAACTCCGACTACTTTGCTTTGATTTAAATACCGTGTGGTCTAAAATGTGTGATTTTGAACAGGGTTCCTTTGATGATGAAATGTCACATTCCCTTTGACACAATCTACTTTGAGTTCCTGTGAATTGGCATGATATAGCTTGGTTAAGTAAGGAATCCTTTTGAAATTACCATGTTTTAGACAAATATGTCCCCTTGTTTTGGATCCCGTTCTCAGAGAGAAGAGTTCTCTATTACGATCATCCATCCCTTTATCATTTAAAATGGCACAATCAAGCCACTCCTTAATCTCTTTTGCTCTATGGAGTATAATGCAAGTTTCCAGCCTCTCATTATTTTAAACCCCTTCACCCCAAGTATTATTTGTGTGAATTGTTGCTGGTTGCTCTCCAGACAAGTATATTCTTCCTAAGACTGGGTTCTCAAAACTGAATCTAATCCTGCAACATGAGGTTTGACAGTTTGTTCTACATGGCTCCAGCAACATGCTTTTATGCTTGCTGCCAATTACAGCTCAGATTAAAGCTGCACAAATTCCTGTTTGAAGGAAGAAGAATACTTAGGGAATCAGGCAGTAGGTAGAAGATATGAGTATTAGCTTCAGTAAGAATTTCTGTGAGGAATTTTACAGGCCACATTTTCATATTTATGAAGCATTGAAGCACTTCAAGGGACGTGTGTGTCTGTGTGTGTGTGTGTGTATATATATATATATACACACAAAATTGATAAACGGTTGTAAGAGTAGAATCATTAACCTATAAAGTGGTATTACTTTCATATATTGAAAGTCCGCAAATATATTTTTTATTTTTACAACACTAAAAACAAATGTAACTTTTAATTACACAATTAAGTGAGGATTGCAGTATATATGATTTAGTGATAAATTTGTGAATGACTGGACAATTATATTGGTCCCACAAACTGCCTTGAAACTGAACAATTGAATCCAGGTAGTCTCCAAATTGCCTCTGTTAACGCGTGGGGTGATATTTCTTCCATGCAGTTCTGTTCCAATTGTAAACTCTGTTCTGTATTCCATTCGCATTCAAGTATGTCAGTTGGAATTGAAAAAGTGTTGGTTAAATGACAAAAAACATGCTGTGCGAATTGCTCATCATTTACAGCAGCGTAGTGATAAATTTTGGTTTCCACAATGCTGTAATGCATTATTTAACGATTGAGGCTTTGTTTGACTTGTTCATAATATTGAAAGGTACTCAGCTGCATCGGTTGTACATCTAGAAACACATTTTGGTCCATTATGATATACAGTGCAATCTTGATTATCAGTAACCCTCATTTTTCCATTGCAATTTGTGGATAAGTGGAACCCCCAACTCAGGTCCATTTGAGTGTGCTTCACTGTCTCAGCTATTGCTTCAGTTGCAACATCTACAGCTTATTTAAGTCTATTTAGTGTCTCAGCCCTTAGCAAAGATTCTTTGCAGAATCTTAAACAAATGAGGTAGAGTTTATGGAGATGTAGTATGATGTTATTTTTTATTTTATTTTTCTCTATCCTTATTTTGTTTAGCTTGTGTTATATCTGGCCTTAGGTTAGTCTGTTTTGCACCACTTACAGCTATTTACAGAACAGTTTATTGTTTGCAACCTTTATAAAATATATATATTTTTAAAAGCAAAAGATGATGGAGCTTTGTTAAGATGAGTTTAACTTCTGTTCAACAAGCTCTGCTTTGTTACATCACAAGTAATTTAGTGGAGTTGTGTTTATTCACCAATTTCTATTGTGTACTGGAGAGCCTTACATTATGCTGAATAATAGTGGTTCCAGTGTAGCACAAATATTGTTCATATGTATTATTGTATTACTAATAATACTAATAAAATAATATTATGCAAGATATAATATTGATACTTGGTGTTTTCTTAACTCGCAGTAATTGTACAATGTGTTCAACAGAATCTTACCATAAGACGTAGGAGCAGGAGTAGGCCATTTGGGCCCTCGAGCCTGCCCCGCCATTTAATAAGATCATGGCTGATCTTCTAACCTAATTCCATTTACCCACCCTATCGCCATATCCCTTAATCCCTCTATCCTTTAGAAATCTATCAACCTCAGTTTTGAATATGTTTAAGGACTGAGCATCCATAGCCTTCTGGGGTAGAGAATTCCACAAATTCACTACCCTCTGAGTGAAGAAATGTTTCCTCAACTCAGTTCATAATCTTGAGGCTATGACCTCTCGTGTTAGATTTTCCAACCAGGGAAACATTCTCAAGGCATCTGCCCTGTCAAGATCCTTAAGAATCGTATAGGTTTCTATAAGATCACCTGTAATTCTTCTATATTCTAGAGAATATAGGCCTAGTTTGCTCAACCTATCCTCATAGGTCAACCCCCTCATCCCAGTAACCAACCTAGTGAATCTGCACTGCATCCCCTCTAAGGCGAGTATGTCCTTTCTTAAATAAGGAGACCAATACTGCACACAATATTCTAGGTGTACAAGGACACCCAAATCCCTCTGAACACTAACACTACCTAGTCTCTCCCTTCTAGAAAATAATCCGCTTTTCTATTTTTACTACCTGGGTGAATAACTTCCCCACGTTATACTCCATCTGCCACCTTCTTGCCCACTCACCTAGCCTGTCTATTTCCCTTTGCATTCTTCTTGTGTCATCCTCACAGTTTACTCTCCCACTTAGCTTTGTAAAATTACCATAATTTTCTGCTTCTGCAAATCAAACTGTCTTAACAAACTGATTGAAATACATGAAATCTGAAGTAAAACAGAGAAGCCTGGAAATTCATAGTAAATTCTTCAGCATTTGAAAAAGAATAGTTTTTATCTCATGGGCTATATTTTTGGTCAGCTGGGTGTTTGATTTGTTTGGAAACCCATCAGTGTACTTAAATGTCCAGAATGAGAGTCCCACATAATAATAATGATTTAATAATAATAATCATTGATGATAACAGACAGGCGGCCTGTGCTGAAACTTGTTGACAATTATTTTTGCGGTTGTCACGACTGACATAACTGTTGTGGAGGTTGAATGTCAGATATTGTGTTTCCGGACTTTTTTTNCCTGATTCTGCAGTATTTACAGGAAAAAAATATTAAAGGTACATGTGCAATGCATATCATGTAACTCACTATATCATTTACACAATATCATGTTAACCGAACATGAACACATGCACACCACACTCCATTTCTACAACTTTCCATTTTGGAGATGGAGTCAATGCATTGTGGAGGCAGCAACTTATCTGTCTCTGATTTAGGCAAGTTTGACATCGGGAAATTTGGCTTCATTATTCATTTCAAATTTCCTAAATTACCGAATTCATCTGAAATACTGGATACTAGTATAATACCATTTAATAATAGCCTTCGTATTTGAGTTAAACCACTTTGCAAGATATTCTTTAAAGTGGATTGACTGTATTTTATGGGCGAAACGCGGTAGCCAGTTTGTGTACAGCAATGTCCCACAATTAGCCATGGAATGAGTGACCAATTTTTTTTTATTTGGGGGATTGTTGGCCAGTATGTCGGCAGAAACTGAGATCTTTAACCTGAACATGCAGATGGCACCTAAGTTTAACATCTCATCTGAAGGATGGCATCTCTGACAATGCTTCACATTCCCACCAGAACTGCATTAGAGTGTCAGCTTAGACTATGTGATTCAAAGTCCTGAACCTTCTGTCTCAGAAGCGAGAAATCTACCAGTGAGCCAGTCTGACACACAATTTATTATAAACTATCTGCTTCACTCAGAGCAAATTTTTGGCTGTTATGTA